GGCATAGAGATCATTCTCCCGTAGTCGATTAAAAACTTGTCTCACATGTTGGATATGTTCCTCCAATGTCTCGCTGTAGGTTACTATGTCGTCCAAGTACACCACGACAAAATCATCTAAGAACCCTTGAAGTACTTGATTCATCATAGTACAAAACGTTGCTGGAGTGTTTGCCAAACCAAAAGGCATCACTTTAAATCCAAAGGCTCCATATCTGGTTACCACCGTAGTCTTTGCTTCATCTCCCTCCTTTATTCGAACTTGTCAGTATCCAAACCTAAGATCAATTTTTGTGTAATATTTCGCCCAACTCAATCGATCGAAGCAATCCGCAACCAGTGGGATAGGATAGCTATTCTTTACAGTAATCTTGTTCAAGGCTGGATAGTCACAGGACATTCTAAGAGAACCATCGACCTTTTTCTGAAACAATACAGGAGCTCCGTATGGTGACTTCACAGTCACAATGATTCCACTCTCCAACATTTCTCCCAATTGCTTCCTAAGCTCTTCAATCTCAGTTTGAGACATACGATATGGTACCCTGGCGGGAGGTTTGGCACCTGGAATAAGTTCAATTTCATGATCAATCGTCTTTCTTTGGTAATTCGTCCGGCATGATGTCCTCAAATTCCTGAATAAGCCTTTTAACGGGTTTTGGAATAGGACCATTCGCCTCTTCGATATCCTCTAATCGAAGAATGCACAAAAAAGAAGGTTCATTTATCTTAAAACCCTTACTAAATTGCATGGCTGAGATACTCGTCTCGCCTATCCTCCCAACTTGTGTAGGGATGACACACGGCTTATTACCCATCATCATTAACGAATCGGAATATGGCAACATTGCTGTCTTAGTATCCCAAAGAAATTTCAATCCCAGAATAAGCTTGAAATCATCCATCATAATTCAGTAAGTTCTTTGCTCGAAAGGACCCGCTTTGATCAACAACGATTTCGCCACTCCAGCTATTGGTTGAGCAGCGGAGTTGATTGCTTTGACTTTTTCACTACCCTTTTCCAGAACAAGTCTGAGTCGCTCTACTTCGGTACATGCAAGGTAGTTGTGGGTAGCACCAGTATCTACCATAGCCCTGATTGGCATCCCATTGATTTTTACATCAATGTACATTAAGCCTTTGACCCTACAAATTCGAGCCTTCACTTCTTCTATATTTGCCTCTTTCAATGGGACATCATCATTTTCAACAACCCGATGCGACAATGTGTTGCCCCGATGTGAAAATGCCCCAACTACGTTCTCATCCTCTTCGGAGTCGGTCTCACTATGACAATTAGCTTGCGAGGCCTCTTGCTTTGAACTTGACCCGCCACTTGCTAGCTGACAATATGCATTCACCATTCGCTTCTGAGGACACTCCGACACCCGATGAGGTCCTTCGCATAAAAAGCACATCAATTTGGGAGTGACATCAGTTCGGCCCTCCGTTGCTTTTCCTTTGTTCCAGTTGTTCCTGTTGCTGTCGTTAAAATTTCCTTGACGGCTATTATGATAGTTTCCCTGAAAGCCACGGGTGCTTTGATAGGCTCCTCTTTTATTTTGAGAGTAATGCTCTTCCTCATTTGAGTTCGAGCTGGGTCTGTTACCACCTCCAATTACTTGATTACTCTTCGAAGGTCGATCTTTTCTAGATTCTGTTTGGTAGTCACTCAAGCATTCGGCAGCTCCCATGGCTGTGCCCAAATCAGTAACTTTCTGTCTTTGAAGTTCCATGCGTGTCCACGGTTTCAACCCTTCCATAAAGGTGAAGAGCTTATCATTTTTTGATATATCTCGAATATTCAGCATATGCCCTGAAAAGGATTTCACATACTCCTTGATGGAACTTGTGTGTTTCAAGTCTCGAAGTGTCCGTCGAGCCTGATACTCGACATTTTTGGGGAAAAACTGAGATCTGATCGCTTCTTTGAGGAGATCCCAAGAATCTATTCGGACTTTGTTGGCCTGAATATTAGCATATTTGGTTCGCCACCATAATTTTGTATCTCCACCCAGATACATGGTAGCTGTGGTTACCTTTCTAGCTTCGTCTTCGATCGACGCTATGAGAAAGTACTATTCCATATCAAACAAGAAGTTTTCGACTTCTTTTGCATCACGTGCCCGTTCGTAGGTACACGGTTCAGGAATTCTGAGTCTAAGAGCATACTCAGGTACGGGAGCTTACCCATTGCCCACCGCACGTTGGAGTACTCGTAATTGAGCTTTCAACGCTTCCAATTCATCCTGTAGATTGGGAATGATTGCAGTAACTTCAGTCATTGCTGCGCAAGCCCTTTGACTTTCATCCAGTTGGATGTGTAATCCATGAATCTCGAATTCTGCCATCTCGACTTTTTCCTCGAGATCGTCCAAGGCATAGCACAACCTAGTAGTTGTCTCATCAAGCGCATCCACACGCTGTTTAGTAGTACTCTTCTTTTGAGGCTCTCCCACTTCAGTGGTGTGAGATGTAATTGAATCCATAGCTTTCTTATCGAGGGTCGTGAGCTGCAGCTCTGATACCAACTTTCATAGGGTGCCTTTCTTCTTGGCACAAAAAGGGACATCGTGCGGCAGTAGTCTGCTCTGCTAGACTACCTTCCGCTTTTTCTCGGTCGTGTCGGGACGAAATAAAATTTGATTACAAATTTGTAGAAAGCTTACAACAGAGAATTTGAATACATTGAAAGTAAATTGAATATTGATTGATGAAAACTGAACATTACAATTGACGAAAGCAAAAAATTACAATTGCTGATGTAGGGGCCGGACACCAGTGAGCTTGAAAGATTTTTGAATGACTAATACCCCTTATAATAGCATTCGGAACAAAAACCTAAGTGACAGGAGTAGACGTTTAAAAGATGAGGAATCATACTAAACGTTTATTAATATCAGAGCTATTTTACAACTGAAATAACTATTACAATGAAAAGAAAATTACAACTCAAATTTGAAGTAATATTTACAATGTGCGGTCGAAGTTGAGCAAACTGCGGCTGCGATAGTATCAAGGGGCCAAGTAAAGCTGCGATCCTTGACACCCGGTCTGGTAGTGCAGCAGCATGACCCACCACATCTCTTTGCAAATAATCTCATCTCGTAGTTAGGTCGAACAGACTTACGGTCGAATGTATTATTATTTTAAAAATTTTGCTCATATTTTTCATTTTAGATCATTTGGGTTGGTCGACAGTTGGCAATAGTGATGTGCTAAGCACTAAGTGAGCTAGTCCCCAACCTTGTATAGCAAGTCGGAGCAATGTTAAGCACTTCACGATTTTGTGGATGGAATAGTCTGTTGGCTCTGATCAACTTTGATACCACTACATCAATATGTCCTTGCCCTTTCCATATAGCTTCCTTGTCCCACCTGGATTGCTCCCATCCCTTTCCAACCTCCCCAAGTCATCTTTGCCCTCTTTTGGATCTCTATGATTAACCTCAACTTTGTTCAACCTCTCTCGAGGCACCCTTAGAACCTTCATTCACTTGATACCATTAATTAGTTCTTTCATAAGTAAAAAAAATTAACTTTTTATGGATTTTTTTTCTTCATTTATGAATTAGTCCGCTAGAAAATCCTTTGTCCTCTTGTGACTCCGCCCTTGCTCCCAACTTATCTCAGTATTTGAGGTTAACTCCAATACCTTCTCCACCTTCATCATAAGAAGTAGGAACTCACCACTGTACATTTGATGTGAATTGCGAATAAGTGTAAACTTGTTCAAGCCCTCTTTTATATCTTCACTTGTGACATCAACTTTTTCCACTTTTACTGAAATTACTATTAACATCGTCTTTTAACTACTATGATTTAGCGAATGAAAATATCTAAAAAGCGTGGTGGTACAAAAATAATATCGTGATGACAATATTTCCCATATATGAATTATGAAGAAATGTACACTTGATTATTACAAGGAATGTTGGGCTTTTGTTGTCTTGGGCGATGATGAGTACCAACAGATTGAAGTGAACTTTGGGGTGTTTGGCCCAATTAAAGATGATAAACAAAGCCCAATATGCTCACACTGAAGGTTGACTCATTGGCCCGGTCCAAGTGAAGTGGTCATTTTGAGGTGTAACAAGTTATAGAGGTCTTGCTCATTGACCCAACTTATATAATTTAGGACTCGTTTAATATAACTTTTACATCTTTTTTTTCTTGTTAAAGAGATTTTGGAAAAAGTCACTTTAATTTTTGTTTAAAAATTAATTTTTAAAAGAATTTCATATTTTGAAAGTGTTTTTATCTTAATGCTCTTCTAGCTAGGAAAAATTACTTTTGTAAAATTAGCGGACATTCCAAAAGCTGCTTTTTAAGTTTCGAAAACTCTTTTTTAATTTTTCAAAAATGATGTCAAATAGGCCTTAGTTTGTGTATAGATCTGATCAATGGTTGTTGGCCTAATAACGCTCTTAATTGGCCTTTATAAAAAAGATAAAAATTTGATTAATTTCTAAACTCATGTTCAAGATACGATTTTTTCATAAAATATCTCTAAAAAGAGAGTTAATTGTTTCAATAGTCATTGAACTTTAATCCATGTTTTTGATTGGTCAGTGAAGATTAAAATATCGAGTTTTGATCACTGAACTTAAGCCAATGTCTTCGATTGCTCACTGAACTTAGGTTTATATCTTAGATTGCTCATTGAAATTTAAAATGTCAAATTTTGGCCGCTGAACTTTGGAATATGCAGTACGTTACTCCCTAGCATAACTGTTGAACTTTGAAAAATATCGAGTTTACAGTGAGTAATGTACAACTTTTTTCAAAATTCAATGAGTAATGTACAATATTTTTCAATGTTCAGTGAGTAATGTACAACATTTTTTAAAGTTCAATGGTCAAAACTCGATATCTTAAACTTTAGTGAACAATTAAAGATATAGATCTAAATTTAGTGACTAAAACTCGATATTTTAAATTTCAAACACCAATTAAATACATGGAGACCATTGGAAGAATTAACTCCTAAAAAGACTTGAATACAAATTGGGAAAACGATGAGAGGGAGAGGAGCCGGAGTGTTCGGACCGGCCAACATCGACTCATAATGTCATTGAGAACAAAACTCAAACACCTTGCACTTACTCAAAGCGCCACCACCCGCTACCTGTCCCACCTCTCACACCACCACAACCACCATCCTCCGACGCCGCTTCCGCCACCACCTCAATTACAAGACCCATACAACCAACTCAAAGAAGATCCATTTGGAATTCTTTCAGACCTCTGGGTCAAGACCTTCACCCAACCTTACAAGCCCTTCAACAACCTCTCTGGCTTTCTATCCAAATTCGATCTCTGGGTCCTTGCCTATCAGCGCACCTGTGCCAATGTCACCGGATCTTTCCCTCATAAGAACTCCATCTATATCAATACACTTTCCGACCTTCTATCCCTAAAAAACGCAGTCGTTCATAACCACTTTCAATGGAATTCCAAAACTCAGCAGATCATTCGCAGCCCTAATGATAAGCCAATTAATTTGCTCTCCAAACGCAAGCTCAACTCCGTTTTGGCATCGAAGACTCCTCCTTTTCAGGACCTGGTGGTTCAGGAAGTTTTGTTGATGATTCTGGAGCCAGTTTTTGAGCCGCAGTTTTCTTCAAAATCTCACGCCTTCCGTCCAGGTAGGAATCCTCATTCCGTCATTAGAACCATCAGGAGTAACTTTGCTGGGTACTTGTGGTTTATAAAAGGTGATATAAGTGAGATTCTTGATCATGTTGACGTTAATGTGGTAATTGGTTGTGTGGAAAAAGCTGTGAAAGACAAAAAGGTTTTGAATTTGATTAAATCAGGGTTGAAAGGTCCACCACGAAATTTTACATACTGGGAAGATAATGGCGGGAAAGTAAGTAAAAGGAAAAGAAAGAAGGGTCAGACGAGGAAGAGGTTATTGAATGAGAATGAGCCGAAGCCAGACCCATATTGGTTGAGGACATTCTTTGATTTTGCCCCAGAGGAGGCTGCAAAGATTCCTAATTACGGTTACTGTGGAATTCTTAGTCCTTTACTGGTTAATGTTTGTCTTAATGAGCTTGATCAAATGATGGAAGATCGGACAATCAAATTCTTTAAGCCTTGTGAATTAGATTCTATATGGAAGTATTCGATGAAGGATAGTTGCCATAACCCTTCTTGGCCGGAGTTTGTACCTGCAAGTGGGAAGGAGAAGACTAGAAAAATGGATTATATCAGGTTTGGAGGTCATTTCCTGATTGGTATTAGGGGACCGAGGGAGGATGCGGTGGGAATTAGAAAAGAAATAATTGAGTTCTGTGAGAGTAAATTCGGGATTAGGTTGGACAATTCTAAGGTCGAAATTGAGCATATCACTAGGGGGATTCAGTTTTTGGATCATATAATTTGTCGGCGGGTTATACACCCCACTCTTCGGTACACCTCAAGTGAAGGTAAGATTGTGAGTGAAAAAGGCGTTGGGACTTTGCTTTCAGTCACTGCTAGCTTGCAACAGTGTATTCGCCAGTTTAGGCGGCTTGCATTTGTGAAGGGTGATAGGGATCCAGAGCCACTGCCCTGCACTCCCATGCTGTATTCGGGTCAAGCTCATACTAATGCTCAGATGAATAAGTTCCTTGAGAGCATGGCTGATTGGTATAGATATGCAGATAACAGGAAGAAAATTGTTGGGTTTTGTGCTTATGTGATCCGCAGCTCTCTCGCTAAATTGTATGCGGCAAGGTATAGACTGAAATCACGTGCCAAGGTGTACAAGATTGCTTCACGTGATCTTAGCCGTCCATTGAGGGAAAGTAGCAATAATTCTGCCCCAGAGTATTCTGATCTTTTGAGGATGGGACTTGTTGACAACATTGAAGGCGTTCAGTTTTCTCACATGTCTTTGATTCCATCATGTGATTATACTCCATTTCCGAGAAGCTGGGTCCCCGATCACGAGAGAGTGTTGCGTGAGTATATCCGATTACAAGACCCTAAATTCTTCTGTCAACTGAATAAGTTAGTTAAACAACAAGGTCTTTGTTTTCCCCAAGATGAGATATCCAAGATTGTGTGGGACTACAAAACTCTAGGAGTCTTCAGCAACCGGTTTAATGGTGATAAAGAGTCAGAAAATGCTTCTCATACAGTGATGCAAGCACCGTTGCTAAAATATGATGTTTGAAAATCATTACATTTCAAATAAGAAAACTCACCTATAGTATGCTGTTGTACAAGGTGTTCTTGAACAGAGGGAGTGTCAATCATTTCCAAAAAAAAGTGTTTTGAATGAGGGTTGCTAAGCTAAAAGGGCAGTATGCAGAATGAAGGTCCCTTGAAGAAGCTAGACATTGCACCTGTCTAGGAATCGAATAATCATGAAGTTGCTGAATTAAGTTTGCTGTATCTGATGAAAGACTTGTGACTGCACAATTAGGTAGTGGCACTAGTGAAGTTGGTATATTCTGTTGATTCAGTGTGATGAAGATATTTGATCAAAGCAGCTGGGGTAAATGATGTCATATTATTTGAACTGAGAACATGCCCCCATATTAAGTGCAGAGGTAGTGTCATTACTATTGCTAAATGCTGGATGCCAGATTCTGGACTTTTCTCCTTTCAAAATTCTGCTTAGGCTCCTATATTCTCTTATTTTGAACCTTAAGTTCAACCAAATTCATTCAAATGCATACCCTAACTGGCATTGACTGTGATTACCACCATGTGAATCTGAATTATGGTCGAATTATGGACGACCTGACAGAGGTGAAGTTAAAGTTCTTGTCTCTTCGTGCAGAGTGTATTAAAAAAGAAGAAGCAAGATTACCATAAACAACAAATCGAAGAAATAAGAAGAGTAGGATAAAAACACGGGATTTCTTACTACTGGGTACAAACCTTTTCATCTTTTCAGTTCACCTTATATTCTTGTATGCACTATGAGTTTGTAAGTCGAATAATACAACGTAGATTGATGCAATTCATTCCACAACAAACTAAGCTTGTTTCCCAATAAATTTTGGTTGGCTATTCATATTGGTTCTTTGGGCATTTCTTCTTCTGCCTTCATTTAAAAAATAATAATAATAATAAAAATAAATAAATAAATTTGTTTTCTCATCATTGGTCTTTTGCTTGTTAGCACAGTGCTAATATTTGAATTTGATAGGTGATTGTTATTTTGATCAGTGTTCTAAATATGCTTTAATTTCCAGAAATTAACTAGATTGTAATTTTCAATTTGCGCCACTTGAGTATTGTGAATGTTTTATCAAGGTCTCATTTTCAAACATTGTGATAAAAAAATCTTAGAGAATGGCTAGGAGTGAAATGATGCCATAGTTTAACTTCTGATGTGTTTAACTTCTGACGTGGTATTTTCTTATTCAAAATAAGGGGGCATCAAACCAATAAATGGTCGCATTCTTATCTTGGGTTGTTCTCAAGTTCTAATCATATCACTTGCTACTGCAATTAATTTGCAACTCATTGTTTATTTGCCCTGTTGTTCAAGGATGTCCAGCCTTGCCTTTCAGGTATGTCTATAATGATTAGTTCCTTCAATATCCTTCTTTTAAAATTTTCTCATTCATTTTATTTATTTATTACCTTATTTCTTTTGGCTATAGTTTTATTTGCAAATAATTCCCTTATATTTATTTAGCCCTTGTTTGGTTTAGCTAAAAATAAGATTTTTAGTAAATTGTGATAAAAGTTGTGAAATGTGAAGTTGAAAGGTGGATAAAATTTCTGGACCCCATTAAATGTGTGATTAAAAATGAAATTTAGAAAATGGGAGCCAAACTGGCTTTTAATCTCTGTTTTGTTTTGTTTTTTTTTTGCCTTCTCTCTCTCTCTCTCTCTCTCTCTCTCTCTGGGAGGGCAGTTGGCAGTGTCACCAGCATATAAGTTTAGGTTTGTGCTCCATTTAGGAATATCATGTTCCAAGCAAACATGATTTCATCTGATAAAGCTACACTTCATTAGATTCTGAGTTGCAATTAATATTTAATAGTGAAGAGTACATAATTCTGTTAAAGAAGTACTAGGTTGGACATTTGGTATTAACTGTTGGAGTGCCAGTATTTGGCTTCTCATTTGTTTTTTCTCCCCTTCTCTCGTACCTATGGTGGTTAGCTTAAGTACATAAATTTCTGAATTTTTCTGAAACTAACGACCATTTACATCCAGATTAAAGCTTAAGGGACCTAATAGCAGTATTTAGTTGACCAATTGAATACAAAAGAAGCTAGATATGAAATAGTGGAAGATGCTGCTGCATAATTATGGAACCTAAAATATGTTTTGGTTCACGGGATTTCTTTTTGTAAACAATAGGAGCTAACATCTCGTCTTTGAGCTCAACTGCCAAGATTGATTAACTACAGGACATGCCAGATGAGAGTTTGATCTTCTCATGGAAAGGTCTTCAATATCTGCATCGGAGATTGTACCACAATGGGTAGTCTCAACAAATGCTGCAATCTCTAGATCATATCTTACAATTTACTTGATGAACTCAAACTTGTATTCTTTATTCTCCCTCAAGCAAACATATCTCGTG